GGCATGTATGGTGAGGTACATCACTGCTGGCATGTATGGTGAGGTACATCACTGCTGGCATGTATGGTGAGGTACATCACTGCTGGCATGTATGGTGAGGTACATCACTGCTGGCATGTATGGTGAGGTACATCACTGCTGGCACTGTCTCTTATACACATCTAGATGTGTATAAGAGACAGGGGCTGGTGTGGGCGGCGTGCTCTGGCCCATTACAGCTGCCCCGGGGTTGGGTGTGGTCAGTCTCCCCCACACCCTCCCTCTCCGTCCTCGTTTTATTCCTGTTTTGATTCAAAATTTCTTTTGTTTCTTATGTTTTCTGCCGTCTCTCTCGCCTAGGAATTTGTCCTGTATTGCAACTTGCTTTTATCTGACAATTTGCAATTCCAGTTACTCCGCTTGTGTTTTCTGCATTGATTCTAGTTTAGTCCACAAGTTTGGCTGTTATGAACCTGCTTGTTGAGGAAATTGGAAATTTCCACCTGCTTTTTCGGTTGCAGGTCATCACCTGCAACCAATTTCTGACCAGTTTGGTGGCTGAAATCATTTTTCACTGAGGTCGCGTTATATCAAGTGTTATTTGATAACATTTATTATTAAACCGACATTAAACCGGAATAACTTTTTATTTTGCTTATAAAACAAAACTTTTGGACCAGCTGTGTTGCATCACTACTAGGCATGTATGGTGAGGTACATCACTGCTGGCATGTATGGTGAGGTACATCACTGCATGTATGGTGAGGTACATCACACTGTAATGCCTACGTCACGCTGATATGAGTCACGCGTCGGCATTACGTCTCATGCTTATCGCTGATAACGCGACTGACGTTATCAGCGATAAGCGTGCTGGGGGGGAGGGGACGGGCGGGGTTGGCAGGGGTTCACCTCGTGGTGCGTACGCCCCCATTTCGTGCGTATACCCCATTTCCTTCGACTTTCGTCATTCCACGAAAAATAGCTAATATAGCCACACTCATTACAATTATATAATATTATATAATTATACCAGATAATATTATATAATTATATAATGTATTCAAGTATAGACGTTATCAACTCACCTTGTACTCACGTTCGCCTTTATTCGCGCAGGTGTTCGAGGACGCGCTGGAAGAGTGAGTACACATTAATATTTTTGTGACATATCATTGTGATATACAGTTATTGTGTTGTCTAGTGTCGGGGTCCATTATTGGGACATATTATTGTGATATACAGTTATTGTGTTCTGGTGTCGGGGTCCGTTATTGTGACAAATTGTGTTATTGTAATATACAGTTATTGTATAGTCTAGTGTCAGGATCTATTCAATGAATAAATAAGGAAAACAAAGCCTGCAGTGACCCCCCAAACACTTAACCACGATCGTATACGGCCAAACATTCACTATTGCAGGAAATAATCTAGGAAAGTAATATACGTAACAGTGATAATGAACATCATTACAGTGCAAAACATAGATTGTTTATTTCAAATCACTTGATACACTCAACTTTGCTTCAGATTCTTTCATTCAACTTCTCATTTCGGATTCTTTCTTTGTGGTGCGAGACATTCCTTCTATCCTATCCCTTACACTTGTCTAGCTGCACACTATTGTATAGTATACAAGATGCCACCAGCTTGTTTACTATACAATACATCTCTATACTATGAATACATTTCTCCGTGTTACTGTTCAAATTCTTGCGAGTTGAAATATTTTTTCATCTCCCATATCCTGAGTGGTACTTGCATGCCGTGGTACTTGACTACCGTGGTACTTGCATGTCGTGGTACTTGCATGTCGTGGTACTTGCATGCCGTGGTACTTGCATGTCGTGGTACTTGCATGCCGTGGTACTTGCATGTCGTGGTACTTGACTGCCGTGGTACTTGCATGTCGTGGTACTTGCATGTCGTGGTACTTGACTGCCGTGGTACTTGACTGCCGTGATGCTTGACTGCCGTGGTAATTGACTGTCTTGGTACTTGACTGTCGTGGTACTTGACTGTCGTGGTACTTGACTACCGTGGTACTTGCATGCCGTCCTACAGGCTCAATGCAACGTATGGTACTGTTATTGTTTTCACAATAACCATCAGGGCTCCGGCATTCAGGCCGCATAAACATTCACGACATCCGATATCTGATCATCCGTGATCGGATTTCCAATCATCATCACCTCAGCATTTATTTCACCACGTCATCAAAACTTCCACAACTTCAGCATTTCTTCCACCACTCCAGCATTTATCCCATCACTTAAAAATTTCTTCCACATTCCAGCACCTGCCCCATGGACCTGACGGCGGCGATGCAGGCGGCGAGCCACGCTGTCAACCTCTTCTTCAACAACAGATTTGAGGACGCCAGGAACATCCTCAAGCCCTGGTGAGTGCTGTGCAGTGCAGTGCTGTGCTGTGCTGTGTTTGTGCTGTGCTTTATTTAGGCCCTGGTGAATACGTGATGTGTTGTGCAGTGCTGTGCTCAATCGCTGAGCAACGAGGGATGTGCTACACATATCAGTGCAGGAGAAGTATTGTGTGAAGATTACGTGCGGGCTTGTCATGTCTGTGCAGAAACTGATGAAGTGTTTTATGCGGGCGGCTGCATGAATTCTGCTTAGGTTGACGCAATACAGGTATTGTTAGGTTGGTTGTGGTGAAAGGCAGCGGTGTTGGTCCTTCTGTCAAGTTTAGGACCTTGTCGTCGTCTGATGCACCGCCTTCGTCGTCCTCCGTCGCCAAGCCTTCGATAGGCATGTTGCCCCGCCACTAGAGCTCGGATGTAACTTTAAACGTGACAACCGTGCTTCTGCCCTCAGTTGGGCATAAGCTGAAGCAAAATGCTGTTGCTACTTGCCGAGGATATTGGGACATAACCGGATGATCCTGGATGTTGCTCGGAAGCGCATCCATGTCGTCTCTCGAATGTCTCATGGGTGAACTCCTCTCATCTCAGCTACTTCGGCATGGCATTGAATAGCCTCGGACCTCCCACGGAAAGAGATCTTTCCCGAAGAGTCTGTACTCTGGTCGCAGCGCGGTTGTTAAATTGGGGTACTCTGCACAGTCTCCCCTCCTTTTGTTGTGATATGTGGCTATTCTGAAAGAAAATCGCTTTAAAAGTTGGGAGCCAGTCCTGTTACCATCTCCCAAATGTACAGTATGATATACCCCTCTTTTCTCCGTTCTCCTCTAGTGATTACCATCCCAGGTGTTTCAACCTGCCGCAGTAGTACAGGTCCCTCATCCCGCTGATTCTGGACGTGAGCAAAGGTCCATTGAATAGCCTTCAATTGCCGCACCGCGCCCTCCTTGAGAGGCGCCCAAAACTGACAGCAGTAGTCCAGAATGGAGAGTACTATTGCTCTGAAAAGTGTAGTCATTGGCGCAGTTTCTTTTTGAAATGTCATCAAAATCTTCCTCACGCAACTAATACCGCGATGCCGTTTTCAAACGTAGCTCCAGAACTCGTCAACATTATAAGATCCCGAACAATTCGCTTCTCTTTAATTTCTGTGCCGTCCAATGTCAAGTAGCGGTGCAGCATCCCAACCTCTATACCAACTCTGTTTCTTTTTACTTCCAACTTGATACCGTTGAATTGCATATTATTCACTAGGGCCCAGTCGTAGATTGTCGACAAGTCATCCTGTAACTTCTCGCAGGTCAGGTGGTCTGTGATCCTCATCAATAATCTTGTATTGTCCGAAAAAAGGCGATATATATGCAGGTGTAAGTTTCAGCATGTGAAAGTTCCGAGTCAATGTCGGCGATGTGGATAAGGAAACGGATTGGGCTAAGCATCGAGCCCTTTTTACCCTGGCTCCACTTAATTTCGAGTTTACCATTGCGACAGCAATTGTACGCTGTCTGTAAGGAAATTGTGAATACACTAACAAGCTTCCTCCTACCTCTAGCAACCTCAGTTTTCTGAATAGAACCGCAGATTTTTTCAGATGCTTTCGCAAAGTCTGGGTATACCACTTATACGCAAGCTCCCTCCTCTAGTAGTGCCACAAGACGGTCGTGGTTTTCCAATAACTTTTACAAACAGGAGCGATTTCGTCGAATATCATTTTGTCCTTTACAAAAAGTTTTTTCTTCCATGTATTGGACAAGCCTCTTGGCACTATCTTCTTGAACACCTTGATCAACACCTTCACGCTAGTGAAGGCACACACCTTGATCAACACCTTGATCACTACCTTGAACACCTTGAGGTCAAGGTCACTGGTCTGTAATTTTGGGACCTGCCCCTCGGATCTCCTTAGTGGATTAGCGTTATCAGTACAGTAAATAATTCCCTCCATCGAGGTTTTACAGAGCATTGTGACCGGCGAGTTCAGTGCTCCGACACACTTCTCTAGCAGTACTGCCGGAACTCCAACTGGTCCTGGTGCTGAAAACGTCGCTTGTTCTTTGATGCTTCTATCAATGTCTCCTGGTCCAAACTCTGTTCTTTAGCCCCCATCCGCCTGGCAGCTCCTGGAGGACTTCGATTTCATTCTCCTGTCTTGAGTAGCGGGGTTTACTGAACACTGATTTAAACTGCGCTCCCATGCAATATGCCCTTGTCTTCTACAACGATGACATCGTTGTTCTTCAGCGAGCCCACTGGTGTCTTTATTTTTATTTTATTTTAGCCTTTGACGCCAAGCCTTTTTTTTATTTCAGCCTTGGTTATATCAAGAAATTTTGGGGTTTTCTCTGATGACTCCAATCGCTCGCTTTTCAGCAATTTGTTCGTTAGTCCTGTGCCAGTCCCGCAGCCTGCGTTCGGTTGCCTTGAGGAGCTCTGATAATCTCTTTCTTCTCAAATCACCAGAGGATTCAGATATTTGTTAATTTAATAACTTTCGTTTTCTTATGAGAATCTGTCAGTCTCACGCAATATTGCTATTTTAGGGGACCGTTCGTGTCGAGGTATGACGTACATACACCTCTGTTAGTATCTCACGTTTTCTCGCGTTCTGTTACTTTCTCGCAGTTTTATGTGAATTTCCTCAGCATTCCTCGCCCGAAATTGTCCTTTCCAAACAATTTTTGCCAGCTCACCCCGAATTGTCCCCAGTCGGTCCATTGATGGTGGAAGTTGTGTCCTGCCAGGCCTTCTTGGGGTAAAGTCTGGGCTGATAATCTATTCCAATATTGTCGTATCCACCGCCACCAGACGGTGGTTAGACAGTGAAGTCTCTTCAATCCGAACGTCAATCACCATTCTTTAGTTGTTCGCGAAGAAGAGATCGAGGATATTTTGTTCCCTCGTAGGCAGCCGTAAATGGTGACCGCGGTTCAAATCTTTCCAACAGTCTGGGTTTGTCCAACGGATACGTGGCAGATTGAAGTCTCTCCCCATTATCCGGTTAGGAGGAAGGTGTCCCAGTTCAGCTATTTTGGTTCCTATCTTCTTGAGGGTCTTGTTAAAATTATCCGATGGGCAAGCAGATGGTAAACAACTCTACGCAGAGGTAGAGTTCTTGACTGTGGAGCAGTTGTGGCCTAAGCCTTGTTGTGTTGTGGTGGCGGTGGTGTAAGGCTGCGGCGTTGTGGTGGCGGTGGTGCAGAGCTGTGGTGCTGGTGTTGTGGTAGTGGTGCCAGGCTGCGGTGTTGTGGTGGTGGTGGTGCAGAGCTGTGGTGCTGGTGTTGTGGTAGTGGTGCCAGGCTGCGGTGTTGTGGTGGTGGTGGTGGCGGTGGTGCAAGGCTGCGGCGTTGTGGTGGCGGTGGTGCAGAGCTGTGGTGCTGGTGTTGTGGTAGTGGTGCAAGGCTGCGGTGTTGTGGTGGTGGTGGTGGCGGTGGTGCAAGGCCTGTCTCTTATACACATCTAGATGTGTATAAGAGACAGNTCGCTTCCCTCTTATCTATTTGCTATCTCTGCCCTCGCTTCCCTCTTATCTATTTGCTATCTCTGCCCTCGCTTCCCTCTTATCTATTTGCTATCTCTGCCCTCGCTTCCCTCTTATCTATTTGCTATCTCTGCCCTCGCTTCCCTCTTATCTATTTGCTATCTCTGCCCTCGCTTCCCTCTTATCTATTTGCTATCTCTGCCCTCGCTTCCCTCTTATCTATTTGCTATCTCTGCCCTCGCTTCCCTCTTATCTATTTGCTATCTCTGCCCTCGCTTCCCTCTTATCTATTTGCTATCTCTGCCCTCGCTTCCCTCTTATCTCATCCTCCGTAAGGCAAGATGAGAAGACTGGGTAGTCTCTGAGGGCCATCTTCACTCACTAAATGTCAATGATTTTCTTAACAAAATCGACGTTCGTGGCCCAAGCGTTCACTGACGTACGAATAACGATGTTTACTAGGCAATTCCGTTATACTTGAGCCACAAACTTCATCAGTTTTCGCCAATTCATTAACAAAGAAAAATAATGATTAAAAAAACTGCGTACAAAATAGCAACGTAATTCTGACATTAGGTGTAAATAATAATAATATATAATATGTAAATAATAATAATAATAAATAATTCACGACATAAACGTGAATTTGTTAGTAGTCTTGTTTGAGTGAAGGTTTTGAGTTCTGTGTAAGAAGTAACAATTTAGTTCTGACAAATTGAACCATATAAAGGTATTTACTTATACCATAACAATACCATATAACCATGAAAGCATTTAAATGTGTGAGAAGTGTAGTAAGAATTTATTTAAAAAGTAAAAATTTATTTTTTTTTGAAATAGAACCATATAAAGGTATTTATTTATACGATAGTCATAGGAGTATTTATATATGTGAGAAGTGTTGTTGGAGCGAAGGTTTTGACTTCTATGTTAAAAGTAACACTCTAATTATGACAAATAGAACCATATAAAGGTATTTAAATAAGTAATAAGTGTAGTTGGAGTGAAGGTCTAGCCGTGCACTCGCTGGCCAGAAAGACATCGAGACGGCGGCCGAGACGCTGAAGCAGAGCCTGGAGGTGTGCAGCAGATACCGACGCAGGGCGGGGCTGGGGGAGAGCCTGGGCAAGATGGTTAAGAGGCCGGACTATAACACCTACACTGACGGTGGGTCTACTGGGTCTATACCTGTCTCTTATACACATCTAGATGTGTATAAGAGACAGGTGGTACCTCATGCTAGTGTTGGGTGAGTGGTACCTCATGCTAGTGTTGGGTGAGTGGTACCTCATGCTAGTGTTGGGTGAGTGGTACCTCATGCTAGTGTTGGGTGAGTGGTACCTCATGCTAGTGTTGGGTGAGTGGTACCTCATGCTAGTGTTGGGTGAGTGGTACCTCATGCTAGTGTTGGGTGAGTGGTACCTCATGCTAGTGTTGGGTGAGTGGTACCTCATGCTAGTGTTGGGTGAGTGGTACCTCATGCTAGTGTTGGGTGAGTGGTACCTCATGCTAGTGTTGGGTGAGTGGTACCTCATGCTAGTGTTGGGTGAGTGGTACCTCATGCTAGTGTTGGGTGAGTGGTACCTCATGCTAGTGTTGGGTGAGTGGTACCTCATGCTAGTGTTGGGTGAGTGGTACCTCATGCTAGTGTTGGGTGAGTGGTACCTCATGCTAGTGTTGGGTGAGTGGTACCTCATGCTAGTGTTGGGTGAGTGGTACCTCATGCTAGTGTTGGGTGAGTGGTACCTCATGCTAGTGTTGGGTGAGTGGTACCTCATGCTAGTGNGTGGGTCTACTCTGATGGTGGGTCTACACTGATGGTGGGTCTACTCTGATGGTGGGTCTACTCTGATGGTGGGTCTACTCTGATCGTGGGTTTACACTGATGGTGGGTCTAGCTGATGGTGAGTCTAGCTGATGGTGGGTCTAGCAGACCTTAAGAAGTATTAAACATATTCCGATAATATAAATTGATGATCACATCGTTAATTGAGAAAAAGTGCAGCCAAATCATGTTATATAATCGTGTTATAAAATTCACAATATAAGATAAAGTGTTCTACGCTCAGAGATATGAATTAGACATTGTCCAAATAACGATGCAATATTTTAACCTTTATGTAGATTATTCTGACCCATTCTGGCAAAAAAAGGTCTCATCAGTGCTTCGTGCGCACGAGCTGCGAGTGACAAAGTGTGCCACTATTTAGGACAATTAACCACATTTATTTGAGTGTCACGGTGTTGCAGAGGAGATGCACGCTGAGCTGTGCTACGCGGAGGCGCTGCTGCTGCGCGCCGTGCTGTCCTTCATTGAGGACGAGACGTTGATATCCTTCGTGAAGGGCGGGATCAAGATACGTGCCTGCTACCAGTCCTACAAGTGAGATATGTGCCTGCTACCAGTCCTACAAGTGAGATATGTACCTGCTACCAGTCCTACAAGTGAGATATGTACCTGCTACCAGTCCTACAAGTGGGTTGCGTGCCTGTGCTGATATTTCCCCATAGTCACCTGCTGATCGATTGTACTTTACTCGTAATCATCAATGCACTTGAAGTGTTTTACTATGGTTCACTGCACTCCCTAATCCTAAGATCCCTCGCGGTCTTGACGAGCGGACTGAGTGGCCTACAAGTTAATGATTAGTAACAAATAATATATAATAACCACTCCCCCTCCCATCTGATTCACTCCGCCCCCCCCAGGGAGTGCTGGTACATGCTGGAGTCGCGTCGGTGGGAGGGCAACGACGACAAGCGTCACTTCGAGTCTGGCGTGCGCATGGGCGTGGGCTCTTTCAACCTGGTGGGTTACTGGCCCACTCACTGGCTCATTTACTGGCCCACTCACTGGCCCACTTACTGGCGCCCACTCACTGGCCCACTCACTGGCCCACTCACTGGCCCATTCACTGGCCCACTCACTGGCTCATTCACTGGCCCACTCACTGGCTCACTCACTTGTAATCCAATCATTTGTTACGTTGTTCCAATCATCAGTCTTGCAAGTCACTGCTAGTCTTTGTAGTGCATATTTTGTGGATTTTTCATAGCATGTCGCGTTTTGTGGATTTTTCGTAGCAATCTTGTGTGTAGTCCTTAAGAAGTATTATTAATAACTATCAATATCGCTAATCAATGTCTTGTACTATAACTCTTCCTAAATGTAATGCTAAACTGTACCTCCCTTTATGCCGCCTTCAGTTCTTATCCACTTGAAATTGTATAAACTGTAAAGATTGGTTTTGCCTGTTATTTGCGTCTTATTTGTCGATTTAGGTGTCAATGTATATATTTTTCGAATTTCAATTGTGCCGACTGATCGTATAAGTGTTCGATACTTTCAAACTGACGATGGAGCTGGACTCTGTATAGTTTCTATGAATGTATAGTTTATTTTTCTGGCACATTATTTGATGAAATTTCTAAAATGTATAATTTTCCGTTTATTTTATCGTCTGTCTTGTTATGAAGCTTCGAATATTTTATTGACAATGAACGTTTCTCGTTTAGAAGAAGCGGGGAATTTTTTCGATCCTCAATTGTGTTGCGTTCTCGGTTGCATCCTTGAATAAAAATTAATCTTTCATATTCCTACATGCACAATGGAAAACATTTAACAACGATTTGTCATTTTGTATTGCTGGCATTTGAAATAATAAATTTTTTGCAAAATGAAGGTATATTTTACCGTTTTTACGATAATATACGATACGATATCCGTTTCATATATCGTATCGTATTTAGTCAGCATTTGAAATATTAAATTATTTAGCTAAAAGAAGTATATAATTATTATCGTATTTATCAGGCATTACATTTATCAGCGTTGACAAGATATAAGATAACGATATAGTTATAACATCATCATAATAATAATATTATAAAATTAACCGGTGTCTGACTGTGCAGCTGATCTCCCAGCTGCCGGGCCGCGTCCTCAAGCTGCTCGAGTTCGTCGGCTTCTCCGGCAACAAAGTAAGCTGTCGCTGCTGGTCACCATCACCATTTATTAATATAGAATAGAATAGAAATGTCGGCACTGAATAGAAATGTCGGAAATGAAAAGAAATGTCGGCACTGAATAGAAATGTCGGCACTGAAGAAATAGGCCCATGGCCTGTTGCCGATTCTTGAATTTGTTGTGACTTGATTCACAAGGGATCCGGCCTTTGGAACCCGATCTTTCCATAACTGACGATTGATTGAGATAGCTGCTGGACTTATGTTCCCATCATTATTCTTTTAATATGTACGTTGCCTTACAATGCTGGCTCTGCACTGAATATTAGCAGTATTTCGCGCCAGCTTACTGGGACCTTTACTTCAAGCATAAATCGAATAATTGTTTTATGTTGGTCTTTCAACATACAATTTAGTTAGAATAGTTATATTAATACCGAAAGAGCATGCGGATATGTATGGTGCACTCGGTTTTCTATTTATTATTCATCAGCACTTGCTGTAACATTTGTTCGCCAAGTCTTCTTTGTGTCAATGATTCAGAACTATCATATCATTTCTCAATGATTCAGAACTATAATTTTCCAATGATTCAAAAGTATCATAACTCAATGATTGAAAACTATTCTTTCTCAATGATTCTAAACTATCCTTTCCTAGTGATTCAAAACTATCATTTCCCAGTGATTCAAAACTATCATTTCTCAGTGATTCAAAACTATCATTTCTCAGTGATTCAAAACTATCATTTCGTAGAATTCCGTAGTTACTATCAAATGGATGTTGCGTGCACTTGATACTTAACTGAGATTGCAGTTATCTTCAGTGCGTGGGTCAAGCTTATAATATTAACTGAAGCAGCAGCAGCAGCAGCAGTAGTAGAAGCAAGTCAAGTCAGTTCTCCATAGTTCTTGCCGCGTGACTTAGTATAGTATAGTATAGTATCTTCGACATTAAAGAATAGGCCTGGGTAGGCCTGTCGCCGATTCTTGTATTTTTCTTGACTAGACTGGCCTTGTGATCAGATGATTCAGAACTACGAATGATTCAGACTCGCAGAAGTTCTAGGCAGTTCTGAGCCATGTTTTACGAAAGGAAAATGTTGTTGCCAGTCGTTATGTCCCGTCCTCGTATATTCATGAAATAATAATTAATTGCACCTTGTTCCTCATGGCCGTGGTGACACTGCAGTCGTGTCAGGTGAGCCTTAATTTGCTCAGTCAGCTTGTATCTTCTGTGTTGTTCCGTATTTAGTTTGTGTGTCGCTTGTATTAGGGTTTGAATAGATATTTTATTTGGATATTCTACGCAACTGACAGATTAACAAACCCTTGTGAAAAGGTTGTGTGTGAAAAGTTTTTTAATTGCAAGGTTAACCTGAAACTTGCTCAGGGCAAAAGTTGCATGTTAACCTCATTCTATTAAACCCGACATTGTTCGGTAACTTTACTCTTCATTAACTTTATCATGCAGACACATGAAGGCATGGCTGTCATTTCAATCCATTCTCCTAGAGTTTATTTCCATGTATAATTATATATTCAAATTGATGAAAAAGAAGATGGGTACTAGATAAACGTATCCATCTAAAGATACTATATCGTGATATATCGAGATATTATACTATCGTGATATATCGAGATATTATACTATCGTGATATATCGAGATATTATACTATCGTGATATATCGAGATATTATACTATCGTGATATATCGAGATATTATACTATCGTGATATATCGAGATGTTATACTATCGTGATATATCGAGATGTTATACTATCGTGATATATCGAGATGTTATACTATCGTGATATCGTGACAACAATGCTTAATTTGGTGTTCAGTTAGCTACTGCCTCCCGACAGGCGTATAGGTTGGCGCTAGAACTGCAGTAAGCTGTGCTATTGTAAGATTTGCTACTGTAAACTGTGCCATAGTAAGCTTTGTTACTGTAAACTATGCTACTGTAAACTATGCTGCTGTAAGTTTTACTACAGTAAACTGTGTTACAGTTGGCTGTGCTAATGTCAAATGTCAAATGTGCTACTGTAAGCTTCACTACAGTAAACTGTGCCACATGCAGTAAGCTGTGTTACAGTAAGCTGTGCTACAGTAAGCTGTCTTACAGTAAGCTGTGCTACAGTAAGCTATGCTGCAGTAAGTTGTGCTACTGTATAGAGTGCTACAGTTAGCTGTGCTATACGGTGTGCTACTGTAAACTGTGCTATACGGTGCCGAAATAAACTGCTACATTGTACTGAAGGCACAGAAGCCTAATATAACCTGCCCCCACCGCTGTGTACTGCTGCCATTACTGCACATTCTCCGGCTTCTGTAAACAATTTCTAGAAACGTGTTTAGTTTGATGTTATTTTTTGTGTGCTTTTTATGGCTTACTTCAATCCACACAACTCAGCCCATGTGTGTCTGTGTTACAGATTTTTTTAATGTCTCTTTTCTTCGCACTACATAAACGCTCCTGCAAGTCTTCTTTATAATAATCAGATTTCTGTTAAAATAATCAGAGCTCAGTTGAAATGATTAGAGATCAGTTGAAATGATCAGAGCTCTTTTGAATTAATCATAGTATATAATGTCTCGACTATAACATGATTATAATACATTTGTAATAGCACCGTAAGGGAAATCAGGAAAATAACAAGTTTATTTTCATATGGCGGCAGCGCACTATAGTCCACTAACCCGTTGGCCCGTTAGACGTACGCGACCCGTTGGTGGTGAACCCGTTGGCTCGTTAATTTTTTATACCTCGATCGTGACGTCTTCAGCTTAATGTTTTCTTATCAAAGGCATTAGTTGAGCCTATGCGAAAGAGATGAAAATTTACAACATGCTTCAATTGTGTATGCTATTTTTTGAGAAAATTTCTATATCATATGCGTGCAATCTAATTATCTCGACTTCAGTCGTTTATCTTCGTTGTGATTCAGACGGAAAGCGCCCTGCGGCGCGGAGGCAACGTTGCAAACGTCTTATTTTTTTGCGTATTTACTTCATTTATGATGAATTTACAATAATTATGATAGTAAATAACATAATTACGGTTTATAAATCTCGAGTGCCTCGAGTTGTCGCAGCTGTTTTTCTCGAGAAATATTTTCCGAGTTACAGCCCCTGCAGATAGCGAGTTACAGCCCCTGCAGATAGCGAGTTACAGCCCCTGCAGATAGCGAGTTACAGCCCCTGCAGATAGCGAACAGCCCTGCAGATAGCGAGTTACAGCCCTGCAGATAACGAGTTACAGCCCCTGCAGATAGCGAGTTACAGCCCTGCAGATAGCGAGTTACAGCCCATGTACGTGCTATATAGTCTTTCTGACGCCCGAGCAATGAACCTTGCTTGTTATCAAAACCTAACTGATCACGCTCCGTAAAGCTATTAATACGCAATTCTATTATCGCTAAACTTGTCGTCGCTCTGGTGCCAGTACCTGGGGCTGTCGGAGCTGCAGAAGGGCTTCGAGTTACGGGGATCTCTGCGTCGCGTGCTGTGCGGTCTTATCCTGCTGGGGTCTCATCTCATCTTCGCCTACGTCCTGGGCACTTCTGATGGCGACATACACCTCGCCCAGACCATACTGGACGACCAGCTCCAGGTCTGTCTCTCGGGGCCAGCGCTTTCTTGAATTAATATGGAAAACACATTTTTACCCCTTTTGCTCCTGTTATTTTCATTTAGTAATTTATTTTTGCTTATACCCCTTTTTACACCTGTAAAATAAATCGTTTGCACAATTCACCACTGCGCTCAATTACAGTTTATTCCTGTGCTTCATATATCGTTTGCAACATAGGCTCTTCTCAATTCTTTGTTCCCCTGTGCTACCATATCATTGTTCCCTCGCTGAACATCGGTATTTCTACCCCGCGCAGTTGTACCCGAACGGAGCGTTGTTCCTGTTCTTCGCCGGGCGACTGCACTACGTCAAAGCAGAGTTCGCGCAGGCCGCTGAGTTCTACCACAAGTCCTGGGCGAGCCAGAACCAGTGGCGGCACTTCCATCATGTCTGCTACTGGGAGCTGATGTGGTGTGGCATCATGACGGCACAGTGGCAGTGAGTGTGCGGCATCATGACGGCACAGTGGCAGTGAGTGTGTGGCATCACGACCGCATAGTGGCAGTGAGTGCGTGGCATCATGACGGCACAGTGGCAGTGAGTGTGTGGCATCACGACCGCATAGTGGCAGTGAGTGCGTGGCATCATGACGGCACAGTGGCAGTGAGTGTGTGGCATCATGACGGCACAGTGGCAGTGAGTGTGTGGCATCATGACGGCACAGTGGCAGTGAGTGTGTGGCATTATGACGGCACAGTGGCAGTAACACGCAGTGAAGGCGTATAGCTCTTAGGACGCTTTCTTCTCATCCTTCTCGTCTTTTCTTGCACGCAGTGAAGGCGTACAGTCCATAAGACGCTTTCTTCTCATACTTCTCGTCTTTTCTTGCACGCAGTGAAGGCCTACAGTCCATGAGACGCTGTCTTCTCATCCTTCTCGTCTTTTCTTGCATGCAGTGAAGGCCTACAGCCCATAAGACGCTTTCTTCTCATCCTTCTCGTCTTTTCTTGCACGCAGTGAAGGCCTACAGCCCATAAGACGCTTTCTTCTCATACTTCTCGTCTTCTCTTGCACGCAGTGAAGGCGTACAGTCCATGAGACGCTGTCTTCTCATCCTTCTCGTCTTTTCTTGCATGCAGTGAAGGCCTACAGCCCATAAGACGCTTTCTTCTCATCCTTCTCGTCTTTTCTTGCACGCAGTGAAGGCCTACAGCCCATAAGACGCTTTCTTCTCATACTTCTCGTCTTCTCTTGCACGCAGTGAAGGCGTACGGTACGCAGGTATGCTGCTGGAGGAGAACAAATGGTCGCGGGCAACTTACGCTTACATCAAAGCCTGCTGCCTCTGCATGCAGGACGACCTCACCGACGACCAGCGCCGCGACCTTAGGGAGACCATGAGGTAGGAGCTTGGGGAGACCATGAGGTAGTACCTCAGGGAGACCATGAGGTTGGACCTCAGGGAGAGGTAGGAGACCATGAGTTAGGACTCAGGGAGACCATGAGGTGGGACCTCAGGGAGACCATGAGGTAGGACCTCTGGGAGACCATGAGGTTGAACCATGAGATCATGAAGGACCCATCCTTGAAGAGGCTTGAAGGGATGTGATTTCTTCCTCCTTAACCGACAGGCACCGAAGTCGCCTTGTGGTGGACAGATTTTCTCCGTTATTTAGACATTGTTGTTACGGTATCCTTATGCGGTATGACATCTGCTCCCTTGAAATAACCTTTAAATTTGACTGGACCATTTTTTAACATCACATTCCGATGAATGTTTAATTATGTGCACTCCAGAATGAGAATGTCTAACCAAGTTCTTATATTCTCTTTTATTCCTGGTGTGCAGAAGCATCCCAGGGCTGAAGCAGCGTATCGCAGGCAAGAGTTTGCCCGTGGAGAAGTTCGCGGTGAAGAAGTCGCTGCGGTTCTTCGCTCAGCAGGAGCGTCTCACGCTGGCGGCGCTGGAGCTCATCTACGCCTGGAACGGCTTCCGGGTGCTGGGGGGCAGCTTTGAGTGCCTGGACCGCCTCTACGCCCTGGCCGACGCCCAGACGCTGCGACTTGCTGGGCTGCCGGCGCGGGGTGAGTGAGCAAAATTGTAGCGTAGTGAGCAGAACTGTAGCGTAGTGAGCAGAACTGTAGCGTAGTGAGCAGAACTGTAGCGTAGTGAGCAGAACTGTAGCGTAGTGAGCAGNCTGAAGTGTATTCCAGCTAAACGGTCAGGTTGTCTGAGCTGAAGTGTATTCCAGCTAAACGGTCAGGTTGTCTGAGCTGAAGTGTATTCCAGCTAAACGGTCAGGTTGTCTGAGCTGAAGTGTATTCCAGCTAAACGGTCAGGTTGTCTGAGCTGAAGTGTATTCCAGCTAAACGGTCAGGTTGTCTGAGCTGAAGTGTATTCCAGCTAAACGGTCAGGTTGTCTGAGCTGAAGTGTATTCCAGCTAAACGGTCAGGTTGTCTGAGCTGAAGTGTATTCCAGCTAAACGGTCAGGTTGTCTGAGCTGAAGTGTATTCCAGCTAAACGGTCAGGTTGTCTGAGCTGAAGTGTATTCCAGCTAAACGGTCAGGTTGTCTGAGCTGAAGTGTATTCCAGCTAAACGGTCAGGTTGTCTGAGCTGAAGTGTATTCCAGCTAAACGGTCAGGTTGTCTGAGCTGAAGTGTATTCCAGCTAAACGGTCAGGTTGTCTGAGCTGAAGTGTATTCCAGCTAAACGGTCAGGTTGTCTGAGCTGAAGTGTATTCCAGCTAAACGGTCAGGTTGTCTGAGCTGAAGTGTATTCCAGCTAAACGGTCAGGTTGTCTGAGCTGAAGTGTATTCCAGCTAAACGGTCAGGTTGTCTGAGCTGAAGTGTATTCCAGCTAAACGGTCAGGTTGTCTGAGCTGAAGTGTATTCCAGCTAAATGTTCAGGTTATCTGAGCTGAAGTTTATTCCAGCTACATGGTCAAGTTATCTGAGCTGAAATCCTCCACCAGATCAGGGCGACTGTCACTGGGACGACGTGTTGCTGGCGCACTTCCTGAAGGGCTGCTGCCTGGCACAGATGAAGGCCCCCCTTCAGGCCGCTGAGTGCTTCACCTTCGTCATCAGTAACGAGAAGAAGCTGAAGGAGGACAAATATCTCGTGCCCAGCGCCCTTCTCGAGGTGGCACTTCTGCATGTGTATGGCGAGAAGGGCGACCTGGACCAGGCTCGCACCATCCTCGAGTATGCCAAGTGAGATCGCCGGTCTGCGGTGACTTGTAGGTGATGGAAATGATCTTAAAACGTGATAAGGAGTACACGTAGCAGCCCAAGTACACGTAGCGGGTCAAGTACACGTAGTGGCCCAAGTACACGTAGCGGCCCAAGTACACGTAGCAGCCCAAGTACACGTAGCAGCCCAAGTACACGCAGCAGCCCAAGTACACGATAGCGGCCCAAGTACACGTAGCGGCCCAAGTACACGTAGCGGCCCAAGTACACCTAGCGGCCCAAGTACACGTAGCAGCCCATATACACATTAAGCTTTGGAAACCGTTAGTTTGAGAAGCTGTATGATCGTACGCCTCAGAACTTTAGTATCTTGATAAAGCATAAAATTATAATAAGGGCTTCATTACCAGGAACAACCACAAAGTATAATAAAATTATTTATAATTGTAATAAGGTTTTTACGACCAGGAACAACTACAAAGTACAATAAAAGTATATAATTATAATAATTCACGACCAGGAACAACTACAAGGGCTACAGCCTAGAGTCGCGGCTGCACTTCAGGATGCACGGGATGCTCAACAAGATCACGGCCATACAGAAGGGGCTCGAGACGCTGCACACCACCACTCCCACGCAGGCCGTGCCCTCGCAGCTGGTGCCCTCGGAGGTGGTGCCCTCGCAGGATGCCGCCCCCGTCGGGCGCCAGGAACAGGTGAGGGATGCCCTAGGGGAGAGGGGAGTCTTGGGGCGTCATGGGGAGGTCCTGGGGCGTCATGGGAAGGGATGAGGTGTGCTCGGTGGGATATTAAACGCGAGGTAATAGAAGTCTCATGAGGTTGAACAATAAAGAGATGGAGAAAGTTTAAAGCTCACCATAATATTTATTTTGTCGGCGATGTTGTGGGAGTAGCAAAGCGAAATGCTGTACGTGATCTTGCGGGAGAATTCGTGGAAAATGTTTTTAGTGATGAAATGTTTATTCACGAGTCAACATAAGAGAAAATGATGGTCGGTGATAGGAATAGATGATAGGTTACCGTGGCTGACCGTTTAAGGGCGAGACTCTTCTTATGTTAATAACCTTACTATGTTCACTACGGAAATAAATACTTATGCCATTAGGCTGCTTAAATCGCAACTTCAACAATCATTCGAAAGTAGAAAAAACGCCAAATATATTTACCATATCTTTAATGAAAACCTTTCGCAGACCAGCTCCATCACTTCAAAATGTTTTCATCGAAGAAATGGTTCATTTATTTGGTGTTTTATTTACACATAAATTCTTTTTGCCCATGCTGCTATGTCCAACAGGCCAACGGGGGTTCACAGGGCAGTCCCCAGGACTTGGGGAGTCCCAGCTCGCTTGGGGTGCCTGAGGGGGAGGGGGGGACGAGGTACCCGGGGATCAGCAGGTCCCCGTCCCCCTTCCCTGCTGGGGACGACAAGGGGGCGGCCTTCAAAGATCTTCCTGAAGCCTCTGAAGTGCTCAACATGAAGGCCTTCTGCAACATGAAGATTACTTAGTAATCGCTTAATGGTGATTTTTGGTGACTATTGGTGACTTAATTGTGATCTAGTGATGACTGAATGGTTACCTAATTGTGACTAGTGGTGACCTTATGCTGATCTAGTGGTGACCTAATGGTGACCTAACGGTGACCTAGTGGTGATCTTACGGTGACCTAACGGTGGCCTAATGGTGACCTTACGGTGACTAGTGGTGACTTAGTGATGACTTAATGGTGACTAGTGTTGACTACTGGTGACTAGTGGTGATCTATTGGTGACTAGTGGTGATTTTATGATGACTTCGTGCCTGTTTGACTCACTCCGATGTTTCAGTTGGGCTTCCACTCACCGCGGCGGCGGCGTTGAACTGATGATATGCAGTCGTGCGCCCCGATGTTCATTATGAATCTACTTAATAAATTAAAATTCTTCATGAATTTATTCAATGAATGGAGTTCATTATGAGCGCATACAACAAATTAACGCTCATTACGAGTTTACTCAGCAAGTGTTAGAATATTGTAGGGAGAAGAATTTTAGTGCGCTATATGACAGTATTTCTACTAAGTTCATTTATGTTGAACTGACTTGTGATTTTAATTTTATTGTCCCTTTTATTTGCCTGTACAAAACTTGATTTTAGTCTCCCTCTTATGTTCCTGGTATTTTTGTTGCTTTTCCGTCACTCGTTTATATTCATCATGTACAATTATATAAAATTACCATCATTTTTGTGATAGTTCACTTGTGACGCCTTCTACTGCTCGTAGTTTATATAGACTATTCCTGCGTACTTTTATTTATATATGCAAGTTTGATTGACGACCAGAGCATGCTTCTTATTAACAATCTTCATATTTGTTTTTTTAATGAGTCGAACGAAATATCTTAATAGCGCCGGGAGATCAAAAAGCAGGTTACCAAATGACATTTTAATGGACTGCGACGTTTCGAAAATATAAAATTCATTATCAAGTTAAGAGAAACATTAAATTGGATTGAACTCAACTATCCATTTTGGATTGGGCCCCAGCTATCCATTTTGGATTGGGCCCCAGCTATCCATTTTGGATTGGACCCCATCTATCTATTTCCAAACTACCGGATTCGTCTAAACTTTGAGATTGTTTGCGGAGGAACTCTCTGACTCGAAATATTTGTGTTGTATCTTATTTACGCGCTTTATGTACCTATGTCCAACTAAATTCCATTATTAAATGCTTCTCTTAACTTAAAAATGAATGTTGCCACATTCGAAACGTCGTTTATATACATGTATTATAATGTATTATATATGTATTATCATTACTTACTAAACCTGCCTTTTGATCTACCAACGTCACGTAAGAATTGTTCGACTCCATGTAAATTGTAAAGCATTCTCTGGTCATTTATTGTACGCATGTTAACGTACGCTTATATAGAATATTCCTGCGTATGCTAGACTATCAAGCGTAGTTAATTGTTATTGTATGAGCTGCTGCCAATAGTGTTATTTTGTTCACAAAAGACAAGCAGTTAGTTATGCCCGTAACTGTTAGAGTGAATTTCTTGGTGCACATGTAGGGCTTACGTTAGTTAAGAGGCTAGTGAAGGCTGATGTGTGAGGCTAGTGGAGGCATGCGGGGGGTGATGTGTTAGGCTAGTATTCACATTAGGATGGATTCGAACTAATGTTAGATATGAATCAATGCTAGCGCTAGTACAGTACTACGAGATTGACCAGATCAACAGTTGTAATGCTCACAATCACTTGTCACTATTGTTACTATGAAAGATTGTCACAAGTTTTCTCATCGTAAAATAAGACCAGAATAACAATTACCTCTATAGGAATTACTTGCTCTCTTTTACAATGTACATAGTTGTTGAATATCACAGTACTTGTATTGCTCTATTTCTCGTCTGTTGGCTCAGACTGAAGGATTTTTAATTCAATTATCCATAAATTTGTGAGTCGTCATTAAAAGCGCACAGCAAACACCCAGCTGGCGGTAACATCAAGTGCTGCTCGTAATATGTTTTCCAAATTAATAAAATTCCCTATTGGGCTTCCAAATTAATGAAATTTCCTATGGGACTAACAACATATTTTTAATCTATGAACTTCCATGCATATCATCGCCTCTAATTTATTAAATATTTAGTAGTTTACTGTAGGCGAATATTTTTAATAATTTAGTATGCCAGTGCTTCTTTAACTTGTTCTCATGTTATTATTATTATTATTATTCCACGAAGAGATTGTGGTGGCGTCTCGTTCAGATCGAACTTCGAGGGCACGTTACAAGCGGCTAAAAAAACACAAGATGATAAAAACAGATGACATCTATGCTAAAACAGAGGACATATGCCAAGACTGATGACGTCTATACTAGAACAAATAACACCTATGCTAAACCAGTAATATCCATGATAAATTAGATAACGGCTAGGCCTAAGATTCAAAGGCTCTACGGAAAAGTTCTGTTTTTAGGCGTCGACGAAACAACGTCAGCAAAGACACGATTCAACATGTATACATGTTATACATTTCACACAGCTGTATACAGCTGAATTATTTTCCAATGCTGTGTCAGCCTTTTTTTCGTGACCGCATCATAACTCCACAGAAATTGATAAACCTTCCCAGGTACGCTGCCTTCCAAATATCAACGGCTTGAATTATAAGGTTAATATTAGTGTAGCTTTATGCCTTATTCGTATCATGATATGCATTGTATCTTCCATACAAAGCCAATGCTCTTGTCCTTGCGTCCCAGTTGCGTCACTGAGCCAGTGCTCAGTGGCAGGGTGGCCCAGTGGTTGTAGTTCAGAGTTTAGTGAGGTGCGGGTTCGATCCCAGCTACCTGTGTGGCAGTTTCTGGTGAGAATCGGCGAGGAGGCCGGGCGGTTGAGCAAAAAATAATTGAATCAGTGAATTGCGTGTTCGAGACCGCAACAAGCTGTCAATTATGTTCTGCTATGTTAGGACTCGGCGAGAGGTCTAATGCTAATCAACGCTGAACCGCTATTATCATTACAGTTGTTCAAGAGTTTCAGGTCTGGACAAGTCGGTGTTGTTAGAGCCGCCTTCGCTCCGTACTTCACGAATAGCGCTTAATTAGACGTAGGTTGTTTAAAGGTATATGTATAGTTAGTGACAGATTGTTTCCTTATTCTAAATGCTAGACTTGTTTTACTTCTAGCAGAGTTGATCCTTCTGTCCAAATTCGGGTTATGAGCCGAGACATGAACTGTCCCGCGCTGAATATTTCCTTGCACCCACGACGTCACTCAGGGACTCTTCTCTCTAACTTGTCTTCTGTAAGCAATCCATTTAGTATATGCAAGTTATTCAATTCCAATTATTAAATGCAATTAAAATGGTTTGATGATAAAGTGCGGTAGGGAGTTCAAGTCGCGTTATATATGAGACAGGTAACGCATAAATAAATGCACTTAAAGTTAAACGTTACGACGTCTGTCCAAAAAATACCCTGTAACGCTGACGGTTCAGAAGAAGAATCTCGGGGAAGTGAGACATGTTGCCGTGCATTAGTGCTGTAGGATACCCTCTTTGATGTAGGAGAGCCTCTGTCCTCAGAGGATGAGGGTTGAGGACACAGCTGCTTAAACGTGGAGGCGAACTGAGAGGCTGAACGTCTCCAGGTAACTGGGCTCAGTGAGGCCATTCTTTACTTTTGTATTGCATGTTATAGAGCTGAACATGTGCACCAGAGGAACACATGTTATATTAAAGGGAACATGTGTTACCAGAGGAACGCATGTTATAGGGAACACATGNGCAGAGGTACACATGTTATATTAAAGGGAACATGTGTTAGCAGAGGTACAAATATTATATTAAAGGCAACATGTTACCAGAAACGATTGCGGGTTAATTGTATCCCAGGCAGGGTCATAGGTTCATTGCAGTGTAACGTTAGCGTGGATGTGTTATAGGCTGAATCTTGACAAGTTTGTTATAAAGTACGAAGCCTTCCTTGACGCCTTCGCTTAGCTTCCTGTAGGAATAAAATGACGCATTTTTGCCGATGTCTTGCCTCGTCGGTGGCCAACGGACCTCTGATGGCCAGCGTCCATCAGGAGTTAATATATCATAGTTAGTGTATAATGAGTAGCTCTCTTAATTAGACATGTAAGACATGAAAGACATGTAACTTATGTTAGACATAAGACACGAGACTAGCCTTGTGGCGACCATTCGTAATATTGTACGAACGTCGTTACTTCGTTATATGCTAGCACGTTAAAGATTCATTCCTTGTACATAGAACAGAGATTTTATTATTCAAAGTAATTAGTTTTGTTGAATAGACTCGCTTGATTACCGAACTTTTTATTTTCCTTTCTCTGTGAACGGTCCACGTGAATTTCTTCACCTCACACGCTGGATCATGCACCAATAAGCATGATTTTTAATCATGTAACTCATTGTGTCATTCAGAATATGAATGTAAACAATCGGAAATCATTTGGTAATAATGATTTTAAGCTGAATTTCTACGGCTGACAGCCAGCAGTCAGAAGTGAGCGTTCTAACTGATAGCATTCACACGGCATAATTTCGTCATTCATAGCTGTTTGGGGACGTTTGAAGAACGTTTGGTGACGTATGAAGAACGTTTGGGACGTTTGAAGAACGTTTGGTGACGTTTGAAGAACGTTTGGGGTTGATCACAGCTTGAAGCTCGATTTGAAGGTGAATGTGTGGGCTCCAAAGTTCACTGCTAATTCAGTATTGCCATTATATATTGCAAGTGATTGCGCTAATGATAAAACATGAATGAAATTTATAATTGTCGAGTTACTATTTTTTTCCAAGATGTCGGTTATAATTGAGGTGAGTAAATGAAACTTGGCCATCTTATACATTTTTATTCGATAACTGTCAACAGTTATGTTCATAATTTATTCAATATGTTTTTCTCAACTGAATATAAAAACATGTTCATTGCGATTGATAAAGTTGAAAAAAGCGAGCAAATGAAATGTTTTGAATCGAACGTGAGGGGTAAACTTGAAAGAACTATAATAGGAAATAGACAGCCGTTGTACGGGTTCATGGCTAATTAAAGTCTTCGGGAAATTGACGCAAATTTTAGTAGCTATTTATCATTTTAGTAACCTGCCTCACCGTGAAATAAAATTATGTTATACTGTTTTCTTAGAATTCACACAAAAGCTTAACCATAATTGAAAAAAACAGCAACAGTGCCATATTTCACGTTGCGGCTGGCCCCTATACGCCTGTATATATAAGATGTTTTTTTCCAGGGATATTTCGATCAATGAATATGAGCTTCTCCATTGTGAACGGTATAGCAGCGCAGCACCGACGCCGTGCGCTAGTAACACCTTAAAATTATCGTATTTATCATTAGAGATTTTTGTTGTTTACTATTGCATTGGATGATTTGAAAACAATTTTATATATAAGTAGGTGCAGATTGTACGTCATGCAGGAAATGCCACCGATGAGTTCTATCGTGATCCCTTCAAATACATGTTTAACTTTAGTCTGTCTCTAAGTCGATCTAACTTGTGACTATAATGCGAACTTAGAGATTATGAACGAGTTTATGCAACTCAATTCTACAAGTCGCTCGATTTCATTTCAGAACTAAAACTATTTAATGGAAAATAAACTAAATAAATTAAATAACTAACTAACTAAATAATACTAACTAAATAATAAACTAATAAACTAAATAAACTAAATAATAAACTAAATGGAAATATAAAATCAGGGAGATGCACATAATTATGTTACAACTACTTTCATAGAGACGGAAGTTTAAGCAACTCAATTAAGTTAATACCGTATGTGTAACAAAGCATAACACATCGCCTGAAAATTCTTTTAAAAATAAAGTAGAAAGATAAAAAGTCCAATACCTCACGAATTTCTCGCCAGCAATCATAATAATAAGGTAAAGTTTTGCTGAAACTAGCGATAAAGTATGTCTCAGATTGGAAATAAGAATTAGTCCGTTAGTGAAGAGAGCAAAATGTTCAAATGGCTTTCGATCCACTAGACGAGGCCCTTTAATACGTCGCTTCTATTGTAACAAAAACGAACACATGACACGTCTTAAAGCTTTAAAGGCAAATCTATAAGCAACGACTATCATGACAACAACTTATTTGATTATATACAGCATTAATATTCCACAGCGATAACGTAACCTCTTCCCTTCTATGCAGCGGAGTCCATTGTTTGGTGCAACATCGTCACTCTTTTTTAACCAAAACTTATTTATTTACCTCATTTGTTTTAATCCCTCTGAACCGAAATGTTTGATATTAATCATAAAAAAAACCTTCAACGTAGGCAACAACATTTTACCCAAGCCATCGCATTACTTTGCGTTCGTTCACGTCAAACTCTGTTGGTAGGAAACCAGACATTTTCAAAGACGATTTTTTTAACCGAGAATATTGTGAATACTGTGATTTATATCAAATCAAACCACAACTGCGAGATCGTCATTTGATAACCTGTCTTTGGCAGATACGATATCACGAAATGAATTAAAATAATTATTTCTTACATTGATTTTATTATTGTTAACACGTAAATCAAAAGAAAACGCGCTTAAAGCGGAGTTTAAAAACTAACAAAAATAATCCTATCAAAATAATTATTTCTAACAAAAAGTTTTCACATATATTACACTGAACCCAGTCCACTTCAGGAACTCGAGTCCACGTACACCATTCAGAAACTCTACTCGATCATGAGGGCGATGAGTGAAGCAACATAATGAGCCTATAGGCTATATTTGTAAGGGGTCTTCTGGTTGATGTAGAACCAATCAAGCAACAAAACGAGCCTAGACTTGGAAGGTAGTCTTCTGGTTCATGTAGAACCAATGAAGCAACAGAACGAGCCTAGACTTGGAAGGTAGTCTTCTGGTTCATGTGGTTCATGTAGAACCAATGAAGCAGCAAAACGAGCCTAGACTTGGAAGGTGGTCTTCTGGTTCATGTAGAACCAATGAAGCAACAAAACGAGCCTAGACTTGGAAGGTAGTCTTCTGGTTCATGTAGAAGCAGTGAAGCAACAAAACGAGCCTAGACTTGGAAGGTATAGTCTTCTGGTTCATGTAGAACCAATGAAGCAACAGAACGAGCCTAGACTTGGAAGGTAGTCTTCTGGTTCATGTAGAACTGCCAAGTTGACACCCCCAGAGTGACTATGTAGAGACACGCGCCAATAAGACAGTTGAATGCGTTGGCTTTAAAGCCTCTGTGCACATCAGTGACGTATTCCTCTGGGGTGTCGTAGTGGTCGTTGAGAGGCAGGTCCTCTATGAAGGCAGGACTCTCGATGTAGAAGAGTACCCCCATGAAGAGCAGCTGTACGATGCCCCACACGGACAGCAGCATCCCGCACAGCGATGTCTTGTAGCCGCACAGCGCCATGCTGCTCGATAGAGTTTAGTCTCATTAATATTATTATTTCATTATAAAATTGTTATTATTAACAATATAAATTTTTATAATCGTTAGTAGTGCTGCTATTTTCAAAATGGCTATCATTTTATTATTATTATTATTAATATAATTTGACTATTGTTTTTTAGTTACTACAATTACTATTATTATTTAATAGCATTCTTAAACGTTATTACTATTAATATTATTCTTGTGATTATTCTATGACGAGATCATCGTGACGTCTGGACATCAGAACTTGAAGGCAGAAGACACGTTATTTATAGAAGGTACAAAGGAAAGTTACAAAGTTAACGGTAGGCACTTTTGCTGCATAAACTTGAATTAAATGTATTATTGGATATAGAGAAAAATTTTAAGAGGTTCGTGAATACATATAACCAAAATAGCAGCGATATTTTAGATGAGGATAAATTGCTACCATCGATCAGAATCCTACTTTCTGCAAGTAATTCCTCAATTTACTACAATCTGTTTCTTAAATGAATAAATATACTCTAATATTTGAATGTACTATACATAGTTTCTATCCATATAACGTATTGAACTCTATAAACTGAATAAATGTACACTAATATATGGATGTACTATACATAGTTTTTATCCCTAGTACGTATTGAACTCTATAAACTGAATAAATGTACTCTATTATATGAATGTACTATACATAGTTTCCATCTATATAACGGAATTGATAAGTTTCCGTATTTTTACAGCCGTAGGCCGCAGAGCAGCCTATGTGCGACGTTTCGATTTTGTTTGAATATAAAATTTGTGATTTTCTTTTAACTAAAGCAATTTTTGAAGTGAGAACGATTCAATTTACTGAAGTTTGGTAAGTTTAGGATAACGGAAACTAGAGACCGGGCGGAGGTGAAATAAGTTGTTATTTGTTTGAAAGGTCCACATTCTTTAATATTATCTTCAATATACAATTGTAAAGTAGGTAATTAGCGAAATGATAAGAGTTTAATCAACCGATCGTGCCTAAATTTCAACTTGATATGTTAAAAGAAGGCTTGGAACGGTCGTGAAATAGCAGCACAACATATAGCATGCAGGATTTCATCTGTTAATGGTGGGAGGAACAAATGAAACAAATTCACATCTACAACAAATTATGATGGGAGTATCAGCTTCAGCAAACTTCAATGCTATGTTATGATGAAATTTACTAGTCGTTCACGCATATGAACAAATTATTCGTTATTTATGACTGATACCCGCGGCTAATAATTCCGAATTGAATTCATTTCTACTTATTTTAAATTTCAATCTCATTACAATTTATCCAAATTTATTTATAACTGTGAATTTAATTGCAACTTACACTGAAATGTTTTTTCGAAAAAAAAACTTCAATTACAATAAGCGTCGTACACCGCACAGCTCCACACACCAGCAGCAGACCATCACTGGGCGCTGGACTGCAGCGCCAGCGATCGATACTCAGGCTAGCGATGTCTGCTCCCGTGATATTCCTGCACTAACTCAACTAGATTGAGTCAATCTCATATGTGAATCAGAAAGAAAATGATATGTGAAGCAGAAATTTTTGTTTCCACATTCACATCCGTTCTGTTGTAGTTAGTATTTATGAACGAATGCTGATACAAGTCCTGGGTGGCTTATGGCATCTATTGGATGATGAGCTGGCATAAAGTTCAAGCTTGTACAACTTGATCAAGGTTGTTGAATGTTTACATCTAATACGTTGTGATTTAAAGGCAATATAGATATTCATTGTTCTCCTGTAATCAATAAGTTTATCGTTACAAACCCTAATTACTAGTAGCTATTCTCAATTTTTATTACAACACTTCTAACTTCACTTCTTGTCTGACTGTCTGCTACAATCTTATAATCGAAATTTAAGATTCTTTTACTTGTCCTATCGATCTGAAATTTTGCACACTTGCGTAAAGTTGGAGACAATGCATGTATTGAATATTGAAAAATTAATATTGAATAAATTAATATTGAAAAAAATTTTTTTTTCCAATATTAAAAAATTTTAAAAATAATTTTGTCAGTTACAAATCTTATAACTGGTATTTGACACACTTTTACCTGTCCAATTGCTCTGAAAATTTGCACACTTGTGTGAAGTCGGGAAGTCGGAGGTAATGCATGAATCAATTGACAGAATAAATAATTTTGAAAGAAAATTTTTATATATTAAATAAATGTGAAAATATTTTTAATATCGAAAATAGAGTGAGAAATTTATTGTACATCTGTAACATTGGATACACCGGATTCTTTAGAAGTGTTGTCTTTAAAAGTAATTTTTAAACTTATATTATTAAATGCTTACTGTTCCTAACCACTGTGAGCATTTGTCAGCTTCAGAGAACAATTGTGTGAAATGAGTTTTAATTTTTAATGTTGCACGATCGAGTTTAGGTTAGAAATTGGAGTCTTCCTATAATATTCTTGTGAACTCTAAATTTTCGTACATTTTGTTTCCAAAGCGTTCTCTTTGATCATGTACCGTTAAGAGCTCTTATATATTAGAATTGAGAAGATATTTGAGCAATGTTAAACATGTTAAAACATGTTAAAAGATGTTAAAAAATGGTCGATTTTCATGGTTCTTGAAAAATTGGATTGAATAAAAGGAATAATTTATATAAAAATGTTGGTATCCTTGAAGACTGACTAGTTATTTCATCTAGATAATTGAGGTCATGTCATACAGGAATTAGAGTTGGGAACACGCCGGGATTGCGAACAGAGATCGTGTACTGCAACCAAAGATTCGACTAAGCGGATTAATTTTTTTTTGTCAGGTTTTTACGGCCATTTATCTATAAATAACATTTCCCACTCATTATTGGCATAGCCGTATTATTATAACAACAAAATAAAAGCATTGTCTATAACTTAAAAAAATGATTTGCCTCCAAGGCTACTTAATGCACGTCGCGCTCATCAACAATTTAGACAAAGCCCTAAATACTCCCTGATTTTTTATATATTGTTTTCCATGATATATATTGAATGGAGTATATATACTCCATATATATTTATTGTATATTACACGCCATTAATACATACATGTCGCGTCCAGTACGCGTGCGACGTATACTTTTAGTTTGTAGCCTTACGGCGCGGCGCGGAGCTGTATTCGGGTCGCAGCCAGTCAACCACCTGCCATTCATTACAGTTTTGATGTTCCTACGAGTTAAGCTTACGCTGAAAGCTTCCGCTGAATTAATCTTTAGGTCAATTTCTATAATTCTCATATTGTCTTGTTCATGTTATAGTAGTTAGTTTATAGTTCTCCAGTTTGAAGTAAAATCGTTTTCTTTCTTTGACAGAGTAAAGTAAGTTTAAATTCCGTTCACAATTTAGAATTTAAAAGCTAGGGCTCAAGCCATCCACGTAAGTGTCACAAATGATTGTATCTGTTGCCACGTTCATATTTATTTTAGCCAGCACTTGTGCGATACTGATATATTGGTTCTTTAATTACTTGGTATACTTGGTATAAATCTTCAGCTTTGTATTTTCATTGGTTCTGATGTGCGGTATTTGTCCCGCAGTTTTACAAGAAGAATAAGGAAACACGGAATGACAATACTACTTTCCTCATCATTGTTCCTGCCTGGCTCGATGAGGTGGCCGTTTGTAATTTAGCCAGGACAATACAGATGAACCAGATTGTATCTTTTTCGTTTGATTTCATATTCTTAGGGAAATAGAGGGCTTAATTATTTTGGTGAAAATGTTTGCCTTAGCAGTCCGCCGCGTGGTGGTCACTTGTAGGGGCAGCTCGTCGCTTCGTCTGTGATGTTCTAACTTTAAATTGCGTAATTTGGTTTCACTTCTACGATAATTATTTATGATCTGTGATCGGTCTGTGACTTGTCAATCCGCTCTTAGTAGCTGCTCAATTTAGTTTTTTGTAATGGTTTGATCTTAATTTCAACTGTTAGAAAGAAAAACGAATATCGTGGAGAAATTTCTACCTTCTTAGTAAGTTAGTTAGGTCACCAGCGTGTTTATATAGACTTGTTTAAATATTTATGTCTCCTTATAAAGGCTTATAAGTAATATGATTTCGATATGCATTAAATTGGTTTGAATTAATTAATGGTGATATTAATATGGATATAAATGGTGATATTGCATATTTAACCTTTAATCTGGATTGAGCACCTATATATAGATGAGCTGGAATGATATGAGTACCGAAATTATATATTAAATGATCCTATGCCATGGCTATAACTAAACACCGGGTAATCGGTAATGATACTATAACTATCCGCCGCGTTAATTCTCAGATTACGTCTCTCAATTTTACGTCAAATATTAAGTCACCATGGCACTTAAATGGAGATAAATTCATTCGAAATTAAAATAAGTCTAAATTAAGCTGTGCATGCACTTATCATTAATGATTAAGGAATTTTTGACTACCCGTTGCAGTGCTCACAGTTCCTACGCAGCCGAAGGAGAATTTTGCAAGTGTTAATTTTTTTAATATAAATAAAGTTGACAGAATGAATACAAAAATCCGCTACCTCGGCCGGGAACTTACACAAAACTGTAGAAACTTCATGTGTCCCTCCCCTAACGCCTCGCAGTGAACTCTTTCATTTTCAATATAAAATTTAAGGTTAAAAATGAATTGTAAGGACATAAGAATTTTATGAATAATAAATTATAAGGAGCCAAGCTTGAGCGCTTAGTTTCCTTCTTTTACATCAAAGGAAAGTGGTAAATGGACGCGCGTATTGAACTCTATAATTGAAGAGCTTCGTGTTCTGATGCCGACCTTTAATCATGTTAGTGGTTAATTTTACATGTTTTATTTTAATCACTGCACATTTGTTAATGAATAAAACGTCTGTAGATACATGAATTGCCACTGTTGTGTGAGTCACCACTGTTGTGTGAGTCACCACTGTTGTGTGAGTCACCATCTTTATATGAGTTGCCATCTTCCGATATAAACAATTAAACTTATCAAGGAAATTCAAAAGAAGCTTCTTGTTGATATTTCAAAAGTTTGGACATAAGTTGTTTTCGTTTCGAAGCTCCTCACTCATTCAAGCCGTTCTAATAATTCCCGAGCCTCAAGATTCTCATTGAATGAGGCCTGATGAATGAGGTCTGTTGAATGAGGTCTGATGAATGAGGCCTGATGACTGAGGTCTGATGAATGAGGTCTGGTGAATGAGGCCTGATGACTGAGGTCTGATGAATGAGGTCTGATGAATGAGGTCTGGTGAATGAGGTCTGATGAATGAGGTCTGATGAATGAGGTCTGATGAATGAGGTCTGATGTTCCGCCGTACAAGACGGCGGAATAACCTAGAGCGAGAAATGATCATCCATAACTACTGGAATCTTAATCTTATGGTCATGGAAAAGCACAGAAAAGACGAGGATATTTCAATCAAACGAAAATGCTTTGCTTGTAATGATTTTTCGCTAAATTAAAAACGTTTGGCCTCATTAAAGTAGCGAATATTTCACCAATCGGCAACAAACCAGACTCCGCCATATTATCATCACATACATCTCGAGTTTAGTTTCGTCCAGTTCCTCATTCAATAATAATTTCATTGTTATTGAATTTTGATTGTGTGCGTGAAATTTTATTTCATATAAATTTAATGGACGAAAGTAAATTCGTGTTACATGACAATTATACCTTGAATAAAATTAAAATCAAAATGATAAATCCAATCGCTCTCTAGAAATTGACAGGGGTTGAATGAAAAAATATTATTGCATTGAATGATTTCAAATGAATGCAAGCTGATTCATCGTATCATGACTTACGAAGACCGTAGCAGGACTGTGACGTGACGATGAGACGCACCTCTAAGGAGCCTTCATCGAAATGATGCCCAAAGAGCGGGCTCGTCATCAGTGATAAGCAATAGTCGACTTCAAGTCTTCGAGCCCTCCGATGCAGTGCGACTGTTTGCACGATAAAAACTTCGAACGTTTTTTTGAAACATTCTCTGGCATTTCAATTGCCACAGACTAAACAAAAGTGCACCTCATGAAATGGAATGTTCTGTGGCGGCTGAGTGCTAATGACTTCTATAGCGACAATTGAAAATATCAGCCCCCTACATAGTATGGCGATACGTTTGTTGTGGTATTTAATGAATACGCATATGAATCTAATCCATTATAGAGAACTCTGCATGCAAATAAATCGAAAACGGTAAAATAGTTTGTGTCATCTCGACCAAGCTAGGACCGGAAGCCTGTACGGTGTAGCGGGGAACCACTATCATGTACTGGTTGTAATCGAAAGTCTACTGTACGTTGCACATAGGCTTGTAATATAAGGTGAACAATGAAAGAATCTGAATAATAATTTAATGGAATAAAACCTTTGCGAACACAAGTTATTCCTAATTAACATGAATCATC